ATTGAATAATTATATATTATATTTTACATGAATTACATGAATTATTACAGGAACCTACAGCTAGAACTAATTTATCCGCAGCACATCTAAAGTTCAAATCCTACTATCAATGAAATTTGAATATTCTGTTGTAAAATGGTTACTATTTTTCATTAATTGGTTGGATTTAGAATCTGTAACCAAAGTTGTATCAGATACTGGAAAGATTATTATTTGATAAACTGTATTAAACCAAAGAACTGAAGAGATAGATACTCACTTGGTAAGACCTGAGTAGAGGTAATGCAAATCTTCAACAATACTATATAAAGAATTATTATCAGGAAAAACCAAAAACTAAGTAGGACTAAGGTGCATGACAAGACACCCCATCAACCAGACTGCTGAAACTGAAAAAAAAGAATCTGCTTAATTTGTAGTTATCAGAGAACTAGTAACTTACAGGTAAAAATCTCTCTTAGGCTATTTGGATCAGTAGTTTAGAATAGTTAAATCAAACTGGAAAAACTGAATAAACAAAGTGTTTGAGAAGGTACTTTTACCAATCAGCCATCAGAACTAGAGGAAAAGGATTTGTTTAATTTGCGATTATTAGAAAACCAGTAACTTATAGGTAAAAATCTCTTCTGGGCCATTTGGATTGGTAATTTGAAATTCAGAAAATACTCTTAATAGTCTGTAAAGTGGGTACTGGGGTTTGGATAAACTTTATAAGGGCAGAAATAGATAATGGTATGGCTTTAGCTTGCAAATACCTGTCTATGAACTTAGTATAAATTACTAAAACCTAAACTAACCTGATTGTAGCTATAGAAAGCTCTAGCAAGTTTACTTCAAGGACAAAGGGTTCACTGATTAAGCCTGCTGTAAAGTTCTAAGCTGGATGTCTTAAAGGATTCACTTTTATTTGGTTATAAAAAGATTGATCTATATAAAACATAGAAAGTTTAAATAGTAACCTCTAGTTAGGTTATAGGTATGACATCTAGTATAGAACTTAGTAATAAGCGAACTACTTAAATAGACAATCAAAAGTTGTACGTATGGCTAGTATATATTCTCCAAATATGTATACTATACAGGCTGTCTAAGAGAAGCTTAATATACAATAAAGTTAATCTATAAATGAATAAAGAGAACTGGCCAAGAGGTCACCTTAATATCAAAAAAAAATACTACAGTACAGAATATCTAAAAGTATAAGTCATATGACTTGTTCTATTTTCAAAAATTTATAATCAAATTTGGTTTTTTTTTGAATTCTGCATTTTGATTGGTTAAAAATTAATTTTTAAAATATTTTAAAATTAACCAATAGCAGTGAGTCAAACCACATGACTTGTTCCATTTTGAGATAATTTTTTCTATATTATATAAAAATACTATACTTTTAAACTCATATAAATTAAAAATAAATAATAAGTTTTAAAAAATTAGAGCCGTTAAGTTGTAGTAAATTAGTTAAACTACAAAAGAGTAGCCTATTTTTTTTGATATTATTTTTATATTAAATACTATTAGCTTTTAAAGTTTGAAAAGCTTTTAGATGTTCCACACTGTAGAAAATGAGAAAAACCTCATATGAAGAAACTTACAAACTAATAAATACATGCAAAAAAATTTATTACATATACTTTAGAGCATCAGTAGATATACACAAAGTGGGATATATGTGTTATTTATTAACAATAAACTCGATCTCATTAAAGAATCTACAAGATATCAAAATTTTGATTTATATTTAACTAACCCAAACATACTACAAGAATGACCAAATTTAAATATTAAATCTAGTCTCCTATCATTAGAAAGCTTGCGCCTATTCAACTTAAGATATTAGCAATAAAATTTTATTTAAATCTAATATAGTAAAGTAGTTTTAAATGAAAACCTTTCCAGTTACCTTTACTTTACAGTATAATTACACGTGGTCCAATAACGGTATATATTTTTTGTCTTCTAAGTAAAATAAGTTGGGAGGTAGATTCTTTTCAGATTCTTTTGCACAGTGAATATTAACGTTCTTCTTAATACTAAGAATAAGTTACCCGGGTAATTGATTTGCATCAACCAATCAAACGAATGTCCTTCCATGAGGTTCGGTCCCCTGGTTTTAAAAATAAACTATTTTTACGAATATATTATCAATTTTAGCTATCATTATTAAAATAAATTCATAAAATAATAGTTTTTTAATTGTTTAAAAGTTTGGGTTAAAGTTTAAAAGTTTATTTTAATAGTTTAAAAGCTTATTTTAATAAGTTTATAAGTATGTTTTAATAATAGTTTACTATTAACTGGTCTGAATTTGTTAAAAGAGTGAGTAACTGGTCAAAAAGACCGGTCCTTAACCGATCTTCTCAGGACTGAACCAACTCTATGAACAATGTTGTTATATTGCTTAGTAATTATATAATTAGTAAAGTGAATAAAGTGATTTTATTTTATTTTTATATGTTTGTAGTAACATTCGCGATTTCATGATCAAATAATAACTTTATATGTGAAATAAAAAAAATAATATATTTTGAAATTTCTTAGTTAATTACTGTTGTAATAAATCATACTGAAATATAAAATGTCTCAAACTAATACCATAATGTTACTACTATTGGTTTGCTTACTTCAAAAGAAATTGATGAATTTTGGTTAATGCAGTTAATACTGCTTTCCTTCTCTCTGGGTTTGCAAGATCAAGACCATTTAGTTTTTATTCTCTCCTAGCTATCTTTTGATTGCAACTGAATATTTTTCTGATAAACCTGTGCTAAGCTCATTCCAATATTTCTCAGGAATCTCAGCCTTGTAAAATGTGACATAGGTAGATATAAAGTGAACAGTAAATAAAACCTGATCAAAAATCTCACCAGCCTCGTGTATATTTTCATTATCGCAAGCAAGTATTTCGCCTGCAATTTGCAATTCTCCATATTCATTTCTAGAGTCTCTAATATTTCGTAAACTTTTATCCTGTCAAAGATATATTTAAGTAATCAAAGATTATTGACTTGCCAAACAATCAAAAAAAATATATACTTCTGTAATAACTATAGATATTGTTCCTTTTTTAACCACAAAGTTAGGAGTTGTCAAAACAAATAGCTCATTTAAAATATATAGTTTACTTTGTGGATGTTGTCTGATTTTGATAAAAGAAAATTCAAAAAGTCATTGAAATAAGGTAATAGAACACAAGACTTCTCAAGTTACTCATGTTATTTTTAAAAGATAATAATTCAGTTGAGCAATACAAAGAAGATCATCAACCAAGTCATCAGTACTGGACTCGAGTATTCCTGGTAGGTTTCTCGTGATGATATGTAGTTTATCAAAGAAGGTTTGAATGAACCCATTAGAAAAATCACTTATTTCTTGAACTTTAAATTTTTCTTTACCGAGTATATTTCTATTTATTTTGGGTCAAATGTAGTTTTCTGGAAAATCTTCAATTTTTTCATTAGAAATAATAAGATCTTCAGATGCTAGCTGAAAATTTACTTTTAGTACTTCTACATCATTTTTCGTAAACTTAGATGCTTGAGTATTAATATGATTCAGGTGATTAAGCAGGCTTCTGGCTATATTTCACAAAGTCTTAAGGGTTGAGAAAAATTTGACGAATGCAGATATTGAAAAAAAAAACGATTATCGAATAAGCATATACAAAATGTAATCTTTTATAGACCCTAGCCAATGGTGTAAATTGAATATGCGCAATATGAGTAGCGTACATTCTTAGTATTTCATTGAAACATGTAGATGGCAGTTTTCTTAATAGCGCCTAGTTTCAGCATATAGAGAGCATGTGAAATTAATAAGTTATGCTTATGATTTTTATGGATAATATGCGCTTTGCGCATATAAAAAATTTGATAATACTGATTCTAGTATTACCAACCTAAAAAAATTCCAATGTTAGGGTTTGGGCATATATTTGCTTTGATTTTATGTTATATCTGATCTTGAAATTTGATTTAACCAGATAACGAATTTTTTAGATTAGTAATGCTAAGGCAGTTTTTTTTTTTTATAGCATCTTCAAAGGCTAATTAGATTATCAGATCATGCGCAAAGTGAGATTTGTTTTATGATAACAGAAAATTGTATTTTGTTATTACCTTCAAAGACTCGGAACTAGTTATTTCTTACCTTTCTTCGCTATGTAAAAATAAATAAAACATACAAGCAGAAAATTCATTTATTATTGCATAGTCGAAATGGAAAGGCAAATTTCATAACCAAAAAATAGAAACTCTACTAGAAATGCCAAAGATGTAGAATTTTGAAAAAACTTTTAGAATTTAGTGCCAATAATGATAATTGAATGCTTTGAAATAAAACAATTAGAATATTGAGAATATTATATTGTAATACCCAAAAACAAAAACAGTATGCCAAGGCACAAGAACAAATACAAATATCAAAAGTTGTATAGATATGAGAAATTAGATTACACAGAAAATATACGTACTTTTTTCTCTAATAGCTAAATACAGTATATTATAATTTGAGTTTTTATATTTATATTTGTCATATATTTGTCAAGATTTTAATTTCAGAAATTCCAAAATATATGCCTCAGATGATCACTGAATTCAAATAAATATTTAGCAATATTTTCAACTATATATATATTTATGTTGAGCATGTAAAAACTTTTTTTTAATTTGATTTTGAACATATCAATATATATATTAAATAAAAGTTCTCTAAGTTATAAAGCTAATTAACCCTCTAACCAAGCTCTTTCATATTTGTAAAATATATTTAACCGTTTTCTACTCAAGAGTTAGATTTCTTTAGTTAGAATAGCTAACATTTTGAGCAAAAAAATGCGTATAAAAAAAAATGAAGGTATCACAAAATTTAAGTCATTTTATAGTAGGTTCTATTGATCATTATCTTGATTTTGATCTTTCTAGATCTTGTTCATGATCTTTAGACCTAGCACTCCCATTTAGAGATAGCAACAGCTGGCTATTTTTGGCTTAGCCGACTGGCTATCTCGTGTTCCAGTGATCCAAATTAGATGATTTTAGTATCATTCAATTCGTCTTAATGAGGCAAATTGAATGGTACCAAAATTATTTAATTTGAATCACTGGATCACGAGATAGCTGGTTGGTTAAGCTGAAAATAGCTAGCTGAACCCATCCCTACTCCTGTTTTACTCTGCTATAAATAACCATTATATTTATAAAAAAAAAAAATTTTAAACTCGAGTAATTAATATCAATAAAAAGTTAAGTTGTATAACGTTTAAAGGATTCTAAAATAGATATTGATTTATCAAAAAAAGATCTAAATGAATTAATAAATATCGTGTTGAACTTCAATTAACCTGATTCCATTCTTGTTTAGACAGTTTTATTAAATTAAAATATTAGTTTGTTGATCGATAAGTTTCGAATCATAAATTTAGTAATAAATATTAATTTAGCTTTAATTTTCATATCTTGATATGGATGTATATTTTAATTATTTCTAATTTGTAAAAAGTATATCGATTAACGATCAATAAAAAAAATAAATCCTTAAAGTTCAGTTACTTATTAAATTACATTTAAAAGTAGCTATCTTCAATTTATTATTGTCAAATCAAAATATAAAAAAACAATAGTAAGTCATATTTTCAGTGAAGGAAGCTATTGTATATATTATTTTTTTCTATATACTATGACATAGTAAATTAATAAAATCTATGTAGCTCACTCTAGTAGAGCTTTGTGCTGAGGATAAATTAGTTCTAGCTGTAGGTTCCTGTAATAATTCATGTAATTCATGTAAAATATAATATATAATTATTCAAT